GAAGAGTTATTGATTTTTCAGTCTGTTTAGCTTTTTCCTTGTTAGGATGGAGTGGTACCTTTTAAGCACCTTACATGTGGAACTGGAACCAAAGCTGAAACTCTATACCCATTAAACACTTGAGTTTCTCTCCTCTATTCCCCAGCACTTGGCAACCAAATTTCTACTTTGTTTCTATGATTTTCACTACTTTAGAGTCATTGAGTAGAATCATACAATATTTGTCCTTTTGTAATCTACTTATTTCACTTAGCATAATGCCTTTGAAGTTCATCCATGTTGTATGTAACAGAATTTTCTTCTGTTTTAGGCTGAATTATGTTTTTGCTCCCCTAATTTGATAATTTCAAATCACCGGTCTTCAAGTTCACTGATTCTTCTGCTGGTCAAGTTTACTATTAATGAATACATTTCTAGTGAATTTCTCAGTTCAGTTATTATATACTTCAGCTCTAGAATTTCTTTTGATGCTTCTTCATGATTTCCATATATTTTTTGATACTCTCCTTTTGTTTGTACAATGTTCCTGATGATGTTTAGCTGTCTATGTTCTCTCTCTTTTTTTAAAAAATATGCCTTTATTGATTTCAGAGAAAGGAAGGGAGAGGGAGAGAGAGAGAGAAACATCAATGATGAGAGAGTCAATGATCGGCTGCCTCCTGCACTTCCCACACTGGGGATCCAGCTTGCAACCTGGGCACACACCCTGACCGGGAATTGAACCGTGACCCCTTGGTTCATAGGTCAATGCTCAACCACTAAGCCACGCTGGCAGGGCTGTAATCCTTTCAACAATAAAGATAAATTAAAAAGTAAAGAAAGTAGTAGAGGACTGTTACTCTGCTCCCTCTCCTGCTATTCCTTTCCAACTTTAGCAAAATTGACCATTTGGTTTTTTAAAAAGGAGAAAATTAAATTTTGTATAAAAGCATAATAGGAAATATTAATCTTCAGTGGATGATTGCCAAGTTAACAATACTGGAAACTAAATATAGTTTCTTTCAGTGCTTACTATTTATAATCCCTGTTTCTGTACTAGCTGAGAGCAAGTGGAGTACATAGACATGCCACTGATGTCAAAATCCAGTTGAATAGAGCTGGTAGAGGGTCATATTTAAGAGTATGCAGAGCTCTGGAATGAGATTGCCTGCATGCTGATCTTGATTAGTATAAAACATATATAAAAAAGAAATAATTTTAAAGGTTTATTATTCCCACCTTAGTGGGTCATTTTGCTCACCTAGGATGTATACACCCCATTTTAGAGATTCTCTGCTTTACCAATCTGTGAATTGGGCATAATAATAGGATGCACATTACCCTATTAAAAGACATAAATAATGTATTAAAATTAAAAGAATTAAAACAGTAATGTATAGAAAGTACCAGCTGGGAGATAACAGAGGGTGAAAAAAATAGATGGCAAATCACTGCCACTTGTTGGTACTTTAAATTCTGGTCTTCTTTGCCAATCCTCCTGCTGCTGTTTATTTGTCAGAGTCTTCATATAGCTGCTCCATGCCTTCTGTCAAGATTTTATAGCTGTATTCAGTGGGAGAGACTGGATGGAGTGTGTCACTCCATCTTGAAACTGGAACTCTTGATCATATATATATGAATATATATTATAATTCTTCTATCATATAAGTAATGCTTGGCATATGAAGCTTATTCTTTTGTTGTCAGTGACAGTATATGAAGTGCATGTGGCAACGGGTGAGCTTTGGAATGCTGGGACAGTAGCAAATGTTTACATATCAATCTATGGGAAAAAGGGAGATACAGGATCCAGACAACTGTTTCGATCGAAGAACTCCATCAGTTTTTTAAGAGGACAAGTAAGTGATGAAAACATCCTTTGTCTGATTTTTAAAAAAATTGTGGTAAAAATATATAAAGTAAAATTTACCATCTTAACTATTTTAAATGCACAGTTGAGTGGTGTTAAGTATACAGTCAAGCCTCAGTTCTCAAATGTCTTCCATCTTGAACAGTTTGGTTCTCGACCAAGTTGTTCGCAGAAAAAATGTCTTGGATGTCAAACAAAACTTTGGTTCTTGACCCAACAACCCTTTCATATCTGTATGACCAGTCATGTGTCTCTCAAATGACCAACAAAGGAGAGAATGCATGAGTATGAGTCAGTTTATCTCTAAACCTCATGTCGTTAACATCTCAGGAAATTGTGCTGTGGATATTTATTGATAAATACCATCTTGACAAAAGAAGTAGCAAACTGTGTGGTAAACTTGTTAAATGACAATACAGTGTTTCACTTCAGGCAAGTGTTAAAATGAAGGCAAAATGAAACATCATTGGATAGGTTTTTAGTGAGACAGAGGTCCAGTGAGACTGAGGTAAGTTCTAGTGGAGCAAAGAGACATAAGAGAGAAAGAACTCCAGAAGAACAGCTATTTGCCCTGAGATCTACATTCTTTAGGGTCAGTTTCTGGAGTTTTATTTTGTTGCTTTGATTGGACCATGTTTCCCTCTTTCTTTATATGTCTTGTGATCTTTTGTTGAGATTTGGGCATTTGAAAAAGACAACCTATCTTATCCAGTCTTAAAGGAATGACTGCTGGGGAAGACCTTCACCAATGAGCGTGGTTAGAGTTTCTAGGATCTCTCAAGATTTTTTCTGGCTATATGTCTTCTCTGGGCTTGTATATGTGCTTTTAACTGCCTTAATTTCCCTCAGCTACTTGCTGCTATTTCTTCTCCAATACCCATAATCTGTTGTACACTCTCGCCCCCCATGTCTGCATGCTGTACTGCAGAATCTCTGTAACTCTGACATGTCACAATACTCTCTTCTGTTTTATCTCCCAAGCTATGTTGCCATTACTATTAATGTTCCAACCTAATTGAGAGAGAGATCTGTTCCTTGGGCAGCCCCCAGAGAAGCCAGAATTTTGTACGCTTGGTCTGTTCTCTGTTTCTGTCCTAAGATAGGATCTGTTGTATAGAAGGTTTCCTCCATATACCAAGTCGTGGGAAGATCATGGACACCCAAAATGTCACAAACTTTTCTACCTCTCTTTAAGAAGTCCCTTCTTCATTATGCATTGGACTAGGTGCTGCAGCTTTCCTTCTGGTATCTACAGTTTTCACAAAAGCATTCTAGTCCATTTATTGTTGTTAAAATGGTGTCTTGATCGGAGAGTGAAGACTTGGTTCTGCCTAGTGCAACATGTTGCTGAAGTCATTTCCCACTGTCTAATTTTTAAACCTAACTTTATATTGTTAAACAAGTCCCAAAATTTATGCTTTTATAATGAAAAATTGGTGGTGAAGAGGAGTTGGGTATCTTAGAAAACTTGTTATCATGTCCTATAAATTAATATTATTGTTTTACCTTTACATAATTTAAATAGATTTGAATATTTGCTGAGTGAACCTAATTCTTTTCACAGTTTTTACTATATCTAAATTTATACTGTTGTCAGAAATCAGACTCATTGTCTAGATCTAACTGTACTTTGATTTGTTACAGACTGACATCTTCTCCCTAGAAGCTGTGCACCTTGGGGATTTGTATAAGATTGTCATAGGACATGATGGGCTTGGCCCAGGTAAGAGTCTTCCGTAGGTAGATATTCAAGGTCTGATTCCATTATACTCATGTGAAATGCTGTAAAAATTTAGAGAATAATTGTGGAAAACTTTTAATAGATCTTTAAATATTGACTATCTGAAATTAAAGTAGTGTCCCCAGATATTCTCTAAATTTATAGTAGATATATTTTTTCTTTGAAATGACATAGGCTTGACTGAGTAGCTGTTCTGCCTAGAATGCTAGAAAAGGTGATAGATAAATATTGGGGGGATTTTAGATTAAAAGCTGTGGCATGTGGAAGCATTTCAGCATGCTGCTGGTGGATACAGCAGCAGCGAGAGCCCATGAAGTACCAGCAGTAGAGCCCAGAGTGCACGTTAAGGAGACCGTCCTGGCAGCCAGGCCCCAGCTGCATTTTCTGCTGGTGTTTTGTATATGCTTCTTCCTCAGTTTTCCCACCAGTTCCGTGAGGTGACCCACATCTTCCCAATAAATTCATTTTCTGCTAGTGGATGAAATTATGATAAACAAGAGTACTAACATGTATGTACCACAAAAATGATAAAAAACCAAAAAGCATGCTAATGCTGGCAAACCACTGATCTAGGGAATATGAGGAGTTTGGCATTGCTCAGTGCTGGGAATGAAGATGAAATGTTAGCAGAGAGCAGGCATCGAAGGCCCTTGTGTGCTTTGCAAAAGAGTTTTATCCACTGGTTGATAAGAATTAACTCATCACGTCAAGGACTTTTAATTAGAGGACATATTTTAAGCTGCTCTTTGTACAGCTAAAACCACTGTAACTGGTTAAAACAGTCCATTTTATCTATAAATAAAATTTAATTGTACTTTAGCCAATTTGTTTGAAATTTAATGTAAAAGTAAACATTAAAAAAAAGATGATTACCTGCATGTGTACCAGCTAAGTCTGTGTGCTTGGACAGAATTTTGAAATGACTGTTCACTTGCTAGCTAATCAAGGCATGTATATGAAACTGTAGCTCTCTAGGTGTATGTTTTAGAAGTAGAAAGTATTTTGGAAGTAGTTCAGATATATATTCTTTGGGAGATGTTAGGGCCAGGATTACAAATGCAATTTATGAAATCAAGGGAAACTGCAGAATTGTAGGTAACAAAACATGACACCTTGAAATAGTTTTTGTTACATGTATAAAAAATAGTTTTAAATGCTTCTTAGAGCTTACTTCTCTTATGTCTTGCTTTATTTTTAAATTTTTAAATTTTTATTTTTTGCTTTATTTGAAGTATTAAAGCTTGAAGGTTCCAAGGCCTTTATATATGTTTGGAAACTAGAACCTCTTCTCAAAACTTCAAGTAAAACCTGGACCATACATATTCATACCACATTTTTCTTTCTTTAATTTGTGTTTAGGAAATGGCTGGTTTCTTGAAGATGTTGTAATCAGGGATCCTACAACCAATCATGAATATGTCTTCTCCTGTCACAGGTTGGTAGGTGTGCTTTTACATTGAATAAATTCATTTCACATTAGTCAATTCCAGCTTCTGGAGAACTAGATAGCTTATTCAATTATTCCTGGTTAATAGTGCTTTGTTGGGTAACTTTTTTGAACATTAACTTTAGGTACTGCTTCTCTATTTAGGAAGATATCCATTATGTTTTTCATTATTCCTGATGATACAAATGTAAATATTTCTTGGGAAATTAAGGTAGATTTTTAAAATATAATTTCTCTTTACATATTAGTAAGGAGAATCAAAGTCTCTGTTAAGAAAACTTATTCCCGTTGGACTAGGTCCCAAGTTAGGTTCAAAAATAAACGTACAAAATAAATGTGTGTGGCTTTTTATACAGAAATGACACTGCCGACCCACTGTCATCAGGCCTTGATTTTTGGGTTATTTTCCCAGTAGTGGTGATAGATTTGCTCTTTCTTTTAACACTTTCCTGCCTTTTCCCCCATGGAACCAATAATAGCCATTTATAAATTAACTGATGTAGTTTGAACTCTAATTGGTGGCCAAAGAACAGGATAAAATAATTGGTCTGCTGGATGCAAAATGTGTGACCTAGACAGACTGATTGCGTAATGCACCCTGGATTAGGGAAAAGCATATTTTATCCTGACCTGCTAGTAGCTTCTCCTACCTCCCCTGCATTCTCCTAGTCACTTTAAGCATTTTCTTCTCCACTTTCTACTCCGCTTTTACCAACTGGATACCTATGGCTTTTCTCAATGTCCATTATCCATTATTTCCGGCTTGGCTAGATAACTGCCCATGGTTAGCGTAAATAGGAGGCCAGAGTATGCTAGGCACACTTTCTTTCCACAGATGGCTGGATCAAGGGGAAGATGGTGGTAAAATCGTCAGAGAACTGTATGCCAGGGATAACAGCATCATCTCTGCAAGTGAGTGTCGTGTATACACATTTCTCGAAGAATTCTGTTGTATGATGATTGAGGAAAGCTTGGCACTGCTGAAATTAACGGTCCTCTCTTTCCTTTATTTCCTCAGGGCAGAAGCTAGAGCGTAATAGAAAGGAAACAGTAAGATTTTACTTTTGGCCTTAAAAATTATTTGGTACAAACTGTGTTCAAATAGCTATTTGATGTATTAAAAGAAAACAGTATATAATGTTTAGTAAGGGGTGTTTCTTAGTAATTTCCTTCTTTTTATAGTGTGATTTTTTTTGGTTTTGTTTTCCTATTTAGTGGGCTGCAGAACGCTGGAAGTTTATGAAGGGAAATACTCTTCAATTCTACAACAAGCTTACTGGAGGGTTTATCCGTCTGCATCCAGACGGCATAGTTGATGCAGTTGGAGAGAAGACAGACAAATATGGTAAAATCGCTTGGCAAAGCCTGTGGTGCTGTGGCAGTTTTGGCAGCTGGAAAAATGCAGATTCTTAGACCTACTTTAATTTACAGTTTTAGTTCTTTTTTAGATGGCTTTATACAAGTATTGGGTCATTTAAATAATTTACTATCTGCATTAATACAAATGACCAATAGATGACAGGCTTTAAATCTGGGCAGACAATGTCATTGTCCAGAACATAACACCATGAAAATCATATTTGGTATTACTAAGTTGAAGAATAAAATGTAGGCAATTAACTCTGTAACTGTTCATAGAAAGCAGCAGTGCAGCTCTTACATGGTGTGGTCATTGAAGGAATTAAGTTTGTTTTACTAAATACTGAGTGCCTGTTCTGTTCAAAACACAGTGTTAAATAATTCGAGCGTCACAAAAATAACTGACATTATTCTGAATTCCAGAGATTCAAAATGTAATGAGAAAGACAAATTTTAATAATACCCCACACCCATAATGTCCAGGATTATCTGAAAATATGCATCAACATGGTTTAATTTTATAAAGATCCTTAATTTTTAGCCATTAAGATGAATTTTATTAAGTAGACAAAAAGAAATTAGAGCTTAATTAGGCAGAAAGCCTTCCATTTGGAGTGGTCTGCTGAATTAATATGCAAGTCCTTCACTTTTGGAAATATGACTTTAAATGAATATAGGAGCATTTCAATATATAGTGAAATCCTTTTAAAATTTGGAATAGTAGAGTTAACCTCTTCATCAGACCTGATCCCTGACTGAAAACATTTGCCCATCTAGTTAATTGAAATAAAAATATAAAGATAGAATTCATTAATTGCATTTGTTAACTAGATGAATATACACATAACAAGGTGAATAATTATAGCAAATATGTAAATAATTCCATGTTAAAAATTGGGATTTGGGGAACCTAAATCACCCAATAACTACCATAATCCTGCTTCATTTGGTATATATTGACTAGGCTCAGAGTTTTGAGTTAATACAAAATGGGCTATGTTGACAGTGGTAAAGAAGGAAAGATTGGTTTATTTCAGAAAATCTAACTCTATAACCATGAAATCATTTTATAGATATTATATAATGTACATTGCATATTTTATATTGGATACATTATTTTATATTATGTATATATATTTATATGCACACACGCACACCACACACACAAACAAACCTCAGCAGCTCATTAGGAAATAAGTCATGGCTCAAGGAATCACCTATTTTAAAATCATTTTATGGGAGAGAACTTAGTGATGGATTCAAAGAGATGGTTTGAATTCAAAGGGATGGTTAAAACTTGGGGCTTATATAGCATTTTTTAAAAGAACAATAATTTTGTAGAGAAGTGACAAGACAAAGGAAGTGGACTTTGAGCTTCTAGGGCCTGCCAACTGTGGGATGTGTTTGGGGAACTAATGCAAGGTAAGGGCTAATTAGCGAGATTTGTGTCATCTCTTTGTCAGTGCCATTGTCTTCAGTGATGAGATGATTATCCCCTTCCTGTAGGGGAAGTGGGGTTGGGAGATACCTTCACAAAATAAATCTATGTTCTGCTTTTAGGCTGATAGAGGGGGGACAAAGAGTTCATACTGTGTCTGTTTTTTCTCAGTTGCCTTCAGCTCAAAATAATCTTTATGCCATAGGGCATACTTTTGCGGTGGCATACTCAACCCTGAATCCTTTCAATATTATCCATATGCAGAAAAAATATACATATTTTATTATGAAATTTTATAAACTGAACATGCCCATGTAACTAGAACCCAGATCAAGAAATAGAACATAACCAGCACTCCAGAAACAATCTCATGCCTTTTTCTAGTTAGTCTTCCCCAAAGGTAACCATTACCTTGGCTCCTAAGACCCTGGAGTAGTTCTGCCTGTTTTTGTGCTTTATATAAGAAAACAGTACGTATTCTTTTATATCTGGCATGTTTAACTCATTACTGAGAATCATCTATTTGTAAAAGCAAAAATGGTCTTCACTTATTGTTGTTACAAAAGCAGATTCCTGAAAATTTGTTGGCTCTAAGTACTAAAGGAGGGATTATTGGTAATGCAAAGAACATTGGACTAAAATCTGAAGTCCTGGGTTCCATTTCAATTCTATGACTATGTAGGGATCTTGGGAAGAAGTCCCTTATGTCTCTATATCTCAGTTTCCTCACTTGCCCAATGTGGAGTGTTTGTGTTTATAGGCTATGGGGACCTAAGTTAACTAACTTATCTAAAGGATATTTCTTAAGCACCCATTATGTTCTAGGAACTCTTCTAAGTGCTGCTATATAACTGTATAGAGAGTAGACAAAAATTTATGCCTTTGAAAAGCTTAAATTTTAAGATAAAAAGATACATAAAAGTACATTGAAAACTAAAAACAATCAAATATAGGATGAAAGAGTCTTTGTCATCATAATCATACGAGCCAGTCACTAACGTCCAAATCACACGTAATTACTTTTATAATGCATTGTTTTATTTTACCCCAAATCTCTGAGATTTATAGAATGGAAATAGGTTTTAACACTAGGATTGTTTATCTTCCTGGGACCATCAGGTGTTATTTTGGGTGTGTGTGGGGGGATTGTCTCAGGGGCTTACCAATGAGCATGGGAAGGCTTTAAAGATTTTCCATGGAAATTCCACCAAATTTTCAAGTAAGATGTACATAATCTAAGGCTACTGGCATTCTACCTTTTCACTAACTAAAAAAAATTAGAAATACAGTATATAAATGTATTAGGAGATTTCAGTGTATAATTGAATAAGAAAAAAATCTTTAAAAGTATGAATTAATTGCTAATACTTAAAATGTTTTCCAGGTCTCTTTGATGTTATTTTCAACAAAGGAAATATATGCATATTCCAAAGTCATGAAATAAGGCATCTTTCTCTTGCTCTTGACAATGGCTTTGTCACTGGAATGGTAGGTAGTAATTTTTCCTTTTGATATATATCAATAATATTTTATCCATAAGTTATATATTTTTGGGTAAGGTACTTTATAAGATTATCAAATTATATTTTCTTTTGACTTTTACTTTCACTTTCTTCATTCTGTTTTGCCTCACTAATTTTTGAGATTCTAATACATAAATGGTCCTAAATGCCTACATTTAGAATTTAGACCAAAAACAAAAAGTAGACCACTTCTCTGATAACATTCAAAATTTTAATGAACCTCCCAAAGGAGATCATCTGACTTTTCAAAGACACTTTTAGGGATTCTGTTATTAGGAAACAAAACCCAATAATTTACATAATTATGTTTTGTATTGCTTAGTTTATGCTTGAAATGTAGCTTTTAATATAGAAAGCCATCTTTTAAAAATCCATGTATATTGTGTATTTTGGAAAGTGAGATAGCATAAAATAACTGTCATACACTGCCCTATGTGCTTAATATGTGTTATAAAATTTAGTTTTTACACCTATTCTATGAGAGAATCCATTATTACCCCTATTTAACAGAAGAGGAACCTGAAGTATGGAAGGATTAAGTGAGCTGCCCAAAGTCACATACATAGCTAGTAAGTGTGAAAGCAGGAATTGAACACAGGCAGTCTGACTCCAGCTCTCATGCTACAGCTTCCTCATATAATGTTATATAGTATTACATGATAATTTTTAACCCACAGCTTGTCATTTAACTAAGGGAAAATAATAATTATTGAAAAGAAACTTGTGTAATTTGTGTGACTGAAATTTAGGGTAAGTGATTAATTAGTCAAACTTCCTCCATGGAGTCTTTTCTCCTCTGTTCCAGATTTGGCAAGGTACCCCATGTTCTATACTTTATAGCATATTCTGCTCAGTACAGGTCTTGGTCAGAGTAAGTGCTTAATAAATATGAATGTGGTGGACATGGAATCTACTCAAATTGAATTTAACAAATGTTCCACTGCTTTATTTTTCTAAAATCAAATTAACTGTCTCCAAGCCCCTATTTCACTAGGTTGGTGAGAGATTCCATCTTAGTTATTATGAGACTGGTCTTGTTATACTCAAGATTTCACCTGGTATGGGGTCTCAGAATAGCTGGACAGCCTTCTTAGCTTCAGGCCACACTGGTCACTGGTAATGTACTCATCAAACATAAGATAGTTTCTTGAAGGTGAATAGCTCTGTTGCTTATCTACCGTACTTACAGAGGGGAGCTTTGCTGAGGTTTGTAGCTTTAGTGTCATGGGTCAAGCCATTCAAGGAGCACCCAAGACTCCTTCCTTTATAGGCCCAAATGCCTCCCCGGGGTACTGAGGAGAGATGGGGTAAGACCTCAAACAGTACTCCAAACCAAGAAAGTCTCCCTATAGCATAACTTCCTTGATTTGTTTAGTTTTTTAAAAGTAAAACCTAGTAATACATGTGTATTAATTTCAGCTTTTGTTCCCAAGTAGTCTTGAGTCAGGAAGACACAAACAAAGAAATTAAAAATAAACAATGATAAAGGACATATTAACATCTCATTAAATTATCTAGCCACTGGAATTATTTTTATTGCTACCCAGTGCTCTGCCATGGGTTCTGAGAAATCAGGAGAAGAAAGTTCTTGGGGAAAGACACTGAAAATTATGCTGCAGAATCAAAGCTATTGAGTTACAAAAACATGAGATTATACAAATAGTTCAAGGGTTCCATAGAGTGGAGTAGACCTCTACATACATGTAATGTCAAAACATTTTAAATGTATTTTCCCCCCTCTCACACTTTTTCTTTTAGGCTAGTGGTCGAGCCTCCACTGAGCTGCGGGTGCTTTATCAGCCCAACCGCTGTGCACTTCTTGAGTCAGTGCAGGTTCCTGGGCACACGGTTATTTTTGACTCTCATGGCAAAATAGCTGATGAATCGTCAACAGGCTATGCAGACCTTTCAAAAGAATTTGTGGTTTTTGTCAAGGTAAAGTGGAGTAAAGTCATTAAAGTTTATATTGCTAAATACCTACTTTCTTTTGCTCTGTTGAAGAAAACTCTTGAATTTAGTCATAATGGGGGTAATGAGATGTCTTCCCAGTAGGTGGCATTGATACCTGTTGCCTTTTAATTTTTTAAAAAATTTATCTTTATTGTTGAAAGTATTACAGATGTCCCCTTTTTCCCCCCAGTGACCCCCTTCCACCCCCTACCCTACGCCTTCACCGCAGTATTGTCTGTGTCCTTGGGTTATGCATATATGCATATAAGTTCTTTGGTTAATCACTTTACCCAGAGTAAAAGGCAATAGGGATCATGACATTAGCAGCAATGAAACTGATGGGAGTGACATCCCATATCCAATTGAAGTTGGAGGTTTAAACTATGGATGTGGGGGTTCTTAATAAAAAGGTAGAAAATCTTTTGGGGACTCAAACAAATAAATGTGTGTGTATATATATATACATATATATATATATATATACACATTTATATATATATAGTTTATATATATATATAGTATAGTAAATATATATATAGTTTTGTATCTTTTTTTAATCTCTGTAGCCTCTTGATGCAGACCCTTACACTATCAATAAATAATGATTCATGTAAATTAGGAGTCTACCAGATAACCTCCTTTAGTGTTTTTCATTGCAGTTAAATTATTTATTTTTTTCTTTTGCTCATTTTTAACCACCAAGCTTCTGGTAAGATCCTGATCACTGCACCTTCTGTAAGAGAATTGACTCTATTGCCATGTTCCTCCAGCAAAACATGAACTTGTTATTAATTGCTTTTCTATTCTGTTTGTTGCTTTGAAGGGTGTGTTCCTCAACAGTGCGGTGGTTCTACTTGCTACGAGCCTTTGCCAGGCCCTGTGTCTCCAGCCCGATGGCAGCTGCACTGGACTGGGAAACCAGTCTGAAAAATCCTACTGGATAGTACATAAAATCAATGCTGGGATTTGCATGTTTGAAAGTGTGAAAAATGCACGGATGTATCTGAGGATCAAGGATGGCCAATGTGATGGAACAGTAAGCATCTGCTCTTATTTTTCTCAGCAGATGTTTAAGACATTTGCCAATAATAGATATGAGAATAGTACTTTCTGAATATTTTCTTTTTTAATCTATGAACATTCTGGAAATTGGATGTTGTATATGGTGGTTTCCTTTGACTAGTGTTTTTAAAGAGTGGGGAGGGCGGCTGAATGCTTGGTATGATTGGAGGGGAATCATGACCCTTTAGACACTGTTTCTGAAACAATGTGCATACAGATCACCTGGGAATTGTTAGAAAGCAGATTCTATCTCTGAGTGAGACCGTGTGCCTGCATTTTTAACAACGAGCTGTTGATGAGTTGGTCTGCAAAACATGCTTTGAGAACCAAGGTACTAGAAAGTCTCAGTACAATAATAATTCCTTACTGCTTCTTTTGGTGCATAAATTTCCACCAATGGAAACCCTGTACTTTGAATAAGGAAGTAATTTTAAATTGTAGATATTAGGGATTCTTCTTTAACAACTTGAGACTTAGGAGGGGATGTGGGAGGCAACTAACATAACATCTTTTATATATTTATAATTTTCTTATGGGTTGAGTGTTGATAAGATTATACATTTAGCTTACCTATTAATGCTCTGTTTATCTGTTCTTGTTTGAAACAGTTTAGTTTAAACTCTATCTTTTGGATAAACTCAGAGGTGCTCCCACTCCTCTGTCACCTTACTAGTGTGGCTCTGGCTATTTGGGAGAGTTTGCGTGAGTTTCTGAGGGTGGGAAGAGGGAAGGCTTAGATCTTTCATTGTTCTCTGTGTCTCAGTCTTGGTGCAGACTGGTGAATGTGCCCTGATATTCATAGGGCAAAAGAGAAAAGCGTGTGCACACACATGTTTAATTAGCGCCCTTGATTGACTCACCAGAGCGTCATAAAGTGGGCTATCTACCATTTCACAGAAGAGGAAGTCATGCTTAAGAAACAGTGTCAGGCTTATGGTCTTTAACCTGGTAAATGGAGTAATTGAAACAGGTAATTGGCCCTGGCTGGGTAGCTCAGTTGGTTAGAGCATCATCCCTGTATGCCAAAGTTGTGGGTTTGATCCCTGGTCAGGGCATATATATACAAGAATCAACCAATGATGCATAAATAAGTGGAACAGCAAATCAATGTCTCTCTCTCTCTCTCTAAAAAAAATCAATTAAAAAAAAAAAAAAGGTAACATTGTTGTCATGGCCACACTAGCTGAGAGTATGATTTCATAATACGCAGTCACTCCAGAGAAGGAACATCAGGAAGTAGCTTTTCCTTCATATCCCCAACATCCACAAGAAAACAAACCTTTCTCTTCTGGGACTCAGAGGAGTATTCTGAACCACGAGACAAACAGTGTGTTACTTTATGACATGTTTTGGGATATGTGTGTTTTGAAGTTGTTAGGAAAGTTTGTAGGGGCACAGGTAAGAGTTACTCCAAAGAGAATCGACCAACATTGGAAATTTGTATCTTCCCTAGATGGCAACCAAAGGGACAGCGCAGTGCTTAATGACCTTCCACCACTCAAGTTGGACGGTGATTTTCATGGTTTTCCCATTCCTCCCTTACTGGTCTGTGGGCACTGTCTGCCTCTTCCATTTCGTTCTCAGTATGATATTTGTCTTGTCCCTCCAAGTGAGTAAGTTTCCTCTGCAAGTGTATAGCAGAATCTTGAATCTTTCTGCCCTACCCTAGACACTCATGCTTTTTTCTTTCCTTCTTCCTGTTGGTGTGGGTTGATTTCTGGGCTCTCTGTTCTGTTCTATTGATCTATATGCCAGTACAGGCTGATTTGATTACAGAGGCTTTGTAGTATAACTGGATATCCGGTATTGTGATCCCTCCAACTTTGTTCTTCTTTTTTCAAGATTGCTGCAGCTATCTGGGGTCTTTTTTGGAATATTTCTTCTAGATCTGTGAAATACACCATTGGTACTGCTGTTGGGAATGCAGACTGGTACACCCATATGGAAAACAATGTGGAGTTTCCTCAAAAACTTAAAAATGGTACTGCCATCTGACCCAGTGATCCCACTTCTAGGAATATATCCTAAGAAACCTGAAACACCAACCAGAAAGAATATATGCACCCCTATGTTCATAGCAGCATTATTTATAATAGCTAATACCTGGAAACAGCCCAAGTGCCCATCAGTAGATGACTGGGTAAAAAAGCTGTGATACATTTACACCATGGAATACTATGCAGCTGTAAAAAAGAAGGATCCATTATGCTTTGAGACAACATGGATGGACCTGGAGATTATTATGCTAAGCGAAAGAAGCCAGTCAGAGAAAGACAAATATCACATGATTTCACTTATATGTGGAATCTAATGAACAAAATAAACTGATGAATAAAACAGAACCAGAGGCATGAAAACATGGAACAGACTGAGGGATCTCAGAGGGAAAGGGGAACAGGTCGGGAAGAGATTAACCAAAGAATTTAAATGCATATATGGATAACCCATGGACACACACAATAGGGTGGTGAAGGCCTGGGGCAGGGTAGGAATGGGGTGGAGAAAGGCAATGGGGGCCAGGGAAGGAGGGACATCTGTAATACTCTCAACAAGATTACAAAATAAAATAAAGTAAGGTCTTCCTGGCTTATGACATACTTATAGGTCAGTTACTTTTGTCCATCTGACTTCTAAAATTGGGGGCTCAATTATTCTGTAGTCTCTAGATTCCCGGTGTTTCGGTTAAAAATTCCACGCCTCTGTTTTTAGAAATGTATTGTAATGGAATGTTATTGCTAAAAAAATTTGAAAATTTAAAGATCCTTTCTATGAAGCCAGAGGCTCCTACATACTCCTAAAATTCTTCATCTGAAATTTGGGTACAGTGGGCCTTTTTAGTTAAAAAGCATATGCTTTTTTGGTCTTAAGAAATTGTATTGATGCATAACAATCAGGCATATTATTTTTCACTTTTACTGTATCTGACCAGAAATCTCTAGGCTGCAGTGACATCACTCTTGGAAAACAGAAAATAACAATCACTTTAATTGCTCTTATTTGCACATGTTTAGAAGCTATAGTAAGGCATGCTTTCAGTCTCCTAAGGTATTTAAAGTGCATTCAAAATAGAATGGTAAGGTATGCTCAGTGCCTTAGTCCAGCTGACTGCTCCACAAACATTTTATTGTATAAATTAAATTGAATAAAAGCATTAATGTTTCCAGGATGCTACCACTGTATTTTTTAAAACATTTCTTTTTTAAAAAAATTGTTGACAGTATTACAGATATCTCCCATTTTCTCCCTTTTTGCCCCCTCCCTCTCCCAGGCCTTTCCCCACACTATTGTCTGTGTCCATGGGTTATGCATATATGCATATATGTTCTTTGGTTAATCTCTTCCTGCCCCTCTCCGCCAACAGAGATCTGTTATTCTGTTCTATGCATCCATACTTCTGGACCTATTTTGTTCGTTTATTTTGTTATAAACATTTCTTATAGGCAAACACACTTATGTTGAAATCAAATGATGCTGATTCTATAACAAATGTGTCTGTTTCTGTTACCATGAAATTGTTATGCTGTAGGAATAAATCACTTTAATAGATTTTGATGTAGTACAGATTCAAGTGAGCAACAAACAGCATGCAATTCGCTAGGGACAATTGTAACATTGTTGATTTAAAACAGAAAAACAAGCCTCAAAGTAACATTGGTGTAACTCGTCACTAGACATGAATGCAAAGGAAAAAAAGATGTAGGAGTTGTAGGAAAAACAAGCCCAAAAGTGATCAGTGCACCAAAGACACATGCACACATAGACACACCCCACACTAGCAGGATTCTTGTTTATGGGCAATAGTTTAGTTTGTAGAAACGAGGAAAGAGTCTCATCACAGATTTATCTAATTTTGCCTCTTCACTCAAAATGTATTTTTACACATGCAAATAACTGAAAACTTAAAGATAATTCATATTTTTAAGGAGTCATATATGAAGCATACAGATAGGCTAGGTGTACACAATGCTAGAGCAGTGGTTTGAAATATATAAAAGTGAAAATGAGGCAGGATTGTAAGAAGTTATGAAAATCCCTTGGCAAGTGGAATGGGGAAACTGAGACAGATTGCTGATTAGAACTGGCCTCATTCAGCACCCTGACTCACCTGCCTTCTTCTCCCTTGAATGAGCACTCCCTTAAGCGTTAAGCCCTCAGGACAGGGGGATTCTGATCAGCATCAAATAATCTTAGGAACTAAGCCTTGGGTCTGTTAACCACAGAGACAGAGTTTTGCTTAAACTAGAAAAACCTTTAGGCCTCAGTTGTTTCAGGTCCAGGCCCAGAAAAGCAGCAAAACCAGATGAAGTGATGCCCTGGCTGATATCAGGACCAGATGCAATGACAAATGACCCTTTATCTTAGTACCAACCAATCAGTAGAGACCACAACCCTGAAAGGACACACCTATAAAACTGATGAATATTCTATTGAGATCCTCCCCTGAGACCTCCCTTAAAATTTCTACCTTTAGAAAACAGATAAAAACCCTTAAGACAAAGGACCCAAGGTGTGCTCTCTCTCTGGAGCATGCCCACACCTTCCCCCTACTTCTTTTCTCAGGTGTGTATCTTTGCTTTCATTCTCTTAAGCTCTGAGGGCCCTTCTTTTGCCTTTGTAACTTGTTTCCTGAGCCCATGTAGCTCAGCTGACTCACTTCTCCTGCCTCTGTGACTCTTTCTAAAAGGCCAAGCCATCTTTTTGAGCCATCCATTCAATTCTTTCTTTCAAGTGCACTTTTGCTTTGCTTGCTGAATAAACTTTCTGTTGCATTAGAGTTCTTGGCTCTGAATTCTTTCTTAGCAAAACTCAAGAACCGAGGTCCATCCTTACTGCTGACTAAAGACACTTAGTTTTATATAAATAATGATAAATCAAATTTTTAGTGAGCCTATGCCTCTGGACTGTGAACTTCACAAGTGCTTCTCAGCTCTGGGATGACTAGAGTGGGCTGATTCTGAGTTTAGTGCCTTTTAAAAATCTTTTTAAATCCAAAGAGTCCATCTCTATCCTATTGGTCTTACATACTATTGTTATTATTTGTATATGTGGTTCTGTCCTCTACTTGGCTACAAACAAATAAAAGCCAGAGTTTTATTTTATCCATAACAGGAACCAAAGGTAGAAGTTGCTTAATTCATATTTATATTATGAGAGACAGACAATAGACGCTTGGTTCTTAACTATAAGAAGCTCACATTTGAGATCAGAATATAAGTTTCTTTTACAAATAATATAAGAATTGCTATTGGAAATTTTAATCCATTCTCACAAAATTTATATTGTAGAACTCTTTTTTTTTTTTAAATATATCTTTATTGATTTCAGAGAGAGGAAGGGAGAGGGGGAGAGAGAGAGAGAAACATCAATGATGAGAGAGTCATTGATTGGCTGCCTCCTGCACACCCCCAACTGGGGATCGAGCCTGCAACCCGGGCATGTGCCCTGACTGGAATCAAACCCCGATCGCCTGGATACTAGGTCGACATTCAACCACTGAGCCACGCCCAGCCAGGCTATATTGTAGAACTCTTAAATCTTATAAGAAAACCATTTTAAGGCCATAAAATGTGAAAAAAGTGAAAATTTTTTTTTTAATGTAAGCATTTTATCTTATTTTTATTTATTTATTTTTATGTTTATTTTTGTTTAAAATATTACAGATGTCCCTTTTTCTCCCCAATAACCCATTCCACCCGTCCCCACTCCCTGAAATGTTTAATATTAGATTATAAACGCCATAAAAAGAGAGAGGTCATTTTGATGATTGGATGTATAGACTTCTACGCTTCTAATTCTTGAATTTTTGCTACACAGTCTTGGAGTAATTTATGTGAACTTGATTTACTGGTGGCAATTCAATCCAGAAAATGTGGACTAGTACAGGAAAATGGTTTATGTTTAAATGTAAATAAACTTTATGGTAAAAATTTCACTCTTTTCATCATTATACTATTTTCCAAAAGGAAAATTTCACAATTCACTGTTTTCTATTCATCTACAGAGATGGGTAACACTGAAACAAAATATAGCACCCACTGCACTCTCCTGAGTTGATGCTTCCCTGTGATTCCGAGCTCTTTTGCCCAAGTTGTGCACCTTTGTCTCATCCACCCATGTGGTCTCTGTTTCTGGATCTTATGGAACAGGGTGAAGTGCGCAGTGCAGTTTATGCAAAAGTTTCTAGATTTGTCATGAGGATTTGAAAATGAAGCAAAATTATATTCTTGTGAAGTGACTGGTTTTAAATCCTGTCCTTCAGTGTTTGCTCATAGTTATGAAACCATGTTGTATTGATTGTAGGGCACAGGAGATATTGACTGTCATTTTAAAATTAAGAAGAACTTGGAAAATGCATCTGTAAGCCTGGAATCTACAAAGAGCCCAGGGTTGTTCATTGGACTTCAGTCAGATGGACAGGTGAAACCAGTTATTTATACCAAGAATGGGAATGTTTTCTTCTATCCACAAGTCATCAAATGTACGTTTACTCTGAAATACTTCATTGTTTCACTTTGTGATGGTTTATTTACACTGATAATTTCATCATACTTTTTCTCAGCAAATTCCTGCTGTTAGGCTTTTTATGATTGTTACTCTAGAAGAAGTAAAAAAAAAAACGCAAATAATAAGGACCACTTACCTCAAATTCTGATATTTAATGTTAGGTATGAAGTTTTTGCTACATCAAGTTTCTTTATAGTTTTTTAAATTGGTTATGTGTATTTGTGTGTGTATCTGTGTGTGTGTCTGTGTGTGTGTGCTTGTATTTTGTTATTTAAAGATATCTCCATATCAGTGAGTGGGGATGGAGCTGTTACAAACATTCTCAGCTCCATTCCTATTAATTTTTAATAATCACAGTAGAAAAGGAGATGGGAAAAGATCAACACAAATGGTATTTGAATTCAAAATAGGATTTGGAAAAAAAAGCCAAAAGATAGGGTAGAAATGTGAGTATTTTTAAACTGATTTTTCGCATCTAAGTTTAGGGCCTCTAGCAAATTGAAGTAAGGATCTGAACTCTGTACATAAACAATTTAAACTTAGAATGTATTTGCTTGACCATCATGATTAATGAGGTAATTCTGTTGTGTTCTTAAATTATTTCAAAATATAGTTTGCAGTTTAATTTTTCCTTGATGTAGGCCCATGGATTTGGGCTTAATCAAAATCTGGATGGTTTTCTTAGTCAGTCTACTCTTATTTAACTTTTCTGTTCAAAGTCTACGTATTCTTTATATGTATATATATTGATATAAAATTTGTGGGGTATTTTATATATATATGGTATTATATATTCAAGTATGTATATATTTATTTACATAAAATATCCTACAGAAAATAGTTTAAAATAAGAATAAAAAGAGTGTGATTTTAACATGATGGTATATCCTGTTCTATTCTTTGAGCTATCTGCATCAATTCCTTTTTAGCTTTTAGTTGCCATACTTAAAGTTTTGCAGATTGTTGGGCTAGTTCACCTTAACTCACTGCCATCCACACCACCACTCCCTCGGCGCCTGTTTTTCCACAGACTGGCACAGAGCAGCACTCCTGCTCAGCAAAATGGGTATACCATCTGCCTGAGGGGCTCTGGAGGGAAACAGATGATGTGAGAGAAAGCAGAGAGATGCAGGGTGGCGCAGAAGGAAAAGCGGTGAGAAACAGCGAGCAGGGGCCGGCACACGTGGGATGAGCGCAGGAGGAGAGGAAACCTAACGCAGGCGCGGGTAGGGTGCTGAAGCAAAGGTGAGAAAAAAAGAGAGAGAGAGAATCAGACAAGAAGGTGAGGAGAGGAAAAAAATAGCTTGTGGGATACGCAAGGGGGAGATGATAAAAGGCCGTGCTTGTTAACAGGGTGTTAGTACCAGTGGGGCCAGTAGAATTGAAAGCGTTCTTTCTCACGGGCTCTGCGATTCAGTTCTATTGCTCCAGCAGAGATGGTCTGAGTTTTCTTCTCTACTTACCAGGTGTATTAGTATCAGAGAACTTTGCTTTCTGTGTTCGTGTAACCAGGATAATAACATATTTCCTATCTACCCAGCAGAGCTGTTGGGGATCGAGCGAGTTAAGTGTAAGTGAAAGCTCTTGTTTCAGTGATAATAGCTAATATTCACAGGCAGCTGTTTTGTGCCAGGCACTGCAGAGCACAGGTTACATCATTTAATATGACTTTGAGAAGTAGACGTACTATTTTTTATTATCTTTTGAGACTGCACTCTTATTATTAGATAATATTTTTGAGAAAAGAATTGAGTATCTTCAGTGATTGTGAATTAACTTTAAAAGCTTATAACAAATAGGTCTGGGACTGATTTTATATTGATTAAACTGGTTGATAGACATCTGTAAACTGTTTATCTATTTTCCCCCCTTTATTATAAAAATACATTAATTGTGGAAAATTTTGAAAATATACCCATGTAATCTATCCAGAAATAAAAACTATATTTTGATGTATATATTTTCATGATTTTTTTCTATGAAGGTGTGTGTTGTGTATATTTATCTATGCTTTTCTCTAAATATACTAAAAGTATATTTTTAAACAAAAAATGGGCTGTAGTCTTTTATATATAGAAATAATTTTCTGATGTTTACTTAAAAATAAATGATTTTCATCAACACACATAGTGTGGTTTTGGCACTAGTTGCCAGTCCTGTTGGGAATTGCCTAGAGGTATCTGTCCTGGCTGCACACAGCTTCCTCTTGTCCTGACTTTGGACTATCAAGTATCATGCTTAGTCTCACAGTTTATCCTTCTGATTAGATGCAAATTCCTGTGATTAACAAGCTCTGTGTATTTGGATTAACCTGTGAAGATGGAATTTTGTTAGTTAAATTAACATTTATGAAAGTTCTAGTGAATAGTAGACATTTGTTGCAGTTATCTCTTTTCCCTTGAAAACAACAAATGGGAGGATTTTTCAAACATACTATAAAGCTATAGATCTCAGCACTATAAAGATTGCTTCTCTCTCCTCAGAAGTCCCCCCTTATCCTTTGGAAATAGATTCCAAGACCCCCAGGGGATGCCTAAAACCACAGCACTGAACCTTATCTATACTATGTTTTTTCCTATACATACATGCCTATGATAAACACAGTAGGAGATGAACAACAGTACATAATAAATAGAACAATTAAAACAATATACTATAATAAAAGTTATATGACTGTGGCATTATTAAGTAAAATATGGATAACTTGATCACAAACACTGCAGTGCTTGACATTTGATCCAATAAGGGACTAACAGGCTGGTAGCACATTCATCTTGGAAACCCTGAACAAAGGGACAATTCATGTCTCACTTGGGACAGAACAGGATGGTTCCAGATTTCATCATGCTTCTCACAATTTTAAAAACATATGAACTGTTTATTTATGAAAATTTTCATTTAATTTTTTTCAACCACAGTTGGCCATGCATAACTGAAATCATGGAAAGTAAAACTGCAGATTAGGGGGAATTACTGTATCCCAAAGGATTCTAGACTCTCGAATTAAAAGGAAACTTAAAATTCTTAGCCCATACCTTCTCAATCTGTTTTCAATCTGTAAAAATGACTCCAGCACCATTTTTGCATTGATGTGATATTTTTAGCCCAATACATTATGTATGGCTCATTATATATTTGTCATTATATGAGAATTCAAGAACATGGGTAGAGTCTCTCATATGGAGTCAATAAAAAGAAGCAATTAATAGAATTAAAGGTAGGAAGCCCATTTTCTAGGAAGTGGTATAAGTATTATATATGGAAACAACCTGTTGATATGGCCTTCAAGAGAGAATACTTGGAACATTACAGGTCAGCTTCCTTTTGTGGCCTTGGCTGACATTTTCAAGATTTGGGCTGTCTTAAGGTAGTATGTTCTGTGTGTTACCTGTTAATGTTCTCAGAATCTTTGAAAAGATTGATACTGAAAGTCTGCAAAGTACTTCTCTCTCTGCTATTGTAGACACCCAGATTGGCCAAAAGTTCTTAATTGATCTAGGGAATCTCACCACCAGTATCATAAATGTCAACATTTGTGCAGAAATAGACTGTTCCAAGAAACATTAACCCTAAAGATGTCATTTCTAAATACAATGAGGCAACTTTCTGCTTTAATAAGAGAAAGAATGCTGGAGAAGTTGCTATGGAAACTTTATTGGAACATTGCGAATCCTAGGAATTCTGAGGAAGTGTGTGGAAACTCCAACATTTCTTCAGAATTTCTAGTAATACATTCTCATGTTTACTAGATGACAACCACAAAGTTAGAGAAATCCATGTGTGCACCATGAGCCCTTTGGCTTTTACATCAAGTTTGTGTTTTCCTCACCTAGGACTGTAATGAAAGGGTGCCTGCAGAATTGATTGCCACAACTCTAAGGGATTTATTTAGGCTTTAATTAATCATTAGAACCTGCACACTTCAACAAAAGGTAGCACAAACAATGGCTGCTGTACAAAGGCTCCTGTTTGCTGTATTGGTGTGCACCATTGGAAATTCTGTTTTATGTAGATATTTGTTCTTACTTTTACCCATGTTTTTCCTTAATTTTCTAGGTAATGCTGAATTTTCTGCCAGAGCAGAAAAACAAAGATGTGAACAAAAAATGTAGAGAAAAACAGTGTGAGATAATAGAAAGTATATCTATTGGTCTCTGCCCCCTGGTTCCTGGCACAGAGCTCCTGAAGTCTTTATAAATTCCTAAGTGATAGGAACACTGGGAGCACCTCTTGAACAAGATTTGGTCTTTGATCATGTCCCAGACTCAGGGCTCCTAAAACCCTTGTGAATTCCTAAATGATAAGAGCACTAGGAGCTTCTTTTGTGCTATTGAGGTAACTCTGGGTGAGCTCCTGGATGGGAGCTTATCACCAGAAAGATCGAGCTATGATTAGAAGCTTGGAATTTTCAGCCCCCACCCCCTCAACTTCTCCAGAGAGAGGAGAGGGGCTGGAAATGGAGTTAATCATGCCTATGTGAGCAAGTCTCCATGAAACCCCAAAAGTTTGGGATTTGGAGATTCCAGGTGGGTGAGTACATCCACGTGCAGGAGGAGTGTGCACCAAATTCTACAGTATAGAAGCTCCTGTGGTCAGGTCTCTTTGAGACCTCACCCTGTGCATCTCTTCATTGGGCTGTATTCTTTAAAACAGCCTTTAATAAACTGGTAAATGTAATGTTTCCCTGAGTTCTGCCAGCCGCTCTAGCCTGGGTTTCAGGTTCAGTCCCCCGTAGGGGTGGGTACCTTGGGATACAAGTGGGAGGCAACCTATCTATGTTTCTCTCTCTCCCTCTCCCTCTCCCTTCCACTCTCTCTAAAAATCAATAATAACATATCCTCAGGTGAGGACTTAAAAAAAAAAAAAAATCTCCCACCAGATGGTACATTTGTTACAATCGATGCGCCTACCTTGATGCATCATAATCACTCAAAGTCCGTAGTAGCGTAACAGTTCACTCTTGGTGTCATACAGTCTATGTGTTTGGACAAATGTATAATGAATGACATGTATCCATGGAATATTTTTATTGGCCTAAAAATCTTTACATTAATTGATTTTTGAATGCTGAACAAGCCTTGTATATGTGGAGTAAATCCCAGTTGGTCTTGGTGTGTTAATCCTTTTATATATTGTGGGATCCAATTTGCTAATACTTTGTTCCTGAGAGGTATTGGTCTGTGCTATCACTCCACAAGATTAAGTTTTTTAGCCATACCTATGAGGTTGCATGCCTTCTTAGGCTAACATATATTTTATGAGTCATCTTAAATTTTGACTGCAATTGTGGTATCAGCAATAGCTGCTATTATTTATTATTATATAGAATCAGACCTTTGTATAATTTTTGTTGTTGCTGATAATCCCTCTAAAATCTGACAATCATAGTATGAATTACTATCATTAAAAAATGTCTGTATTATGACTGATTTCTAAGAATAAGACACAAACAACTTAAACTTTGAAATTCTAAGTACAAATAGCAGTCACAGTCATGCACTATAAAATTACAGTCATTACTCAGCGAGGTTGGAGACATCTATTCCTGAACAACACGCCAAAGCCACTTGCTTCTAAATAAAAGGCAGAAAAATAGCTAATGCTTTCTTCATTTATAGGTATAGGTATATTTCTTTGATTCTCATAGTTTAGTAAAGTCACTGAAGTATTGTTTAAATGATGTTTTAGTCAGTTTACCCTTCTTATGAAGGCAAAATACCAGGTTATCAAAGGAGTTCCTGTTTAGAATCTATAAGAAAAATATCTTGAATAAGTCATTGGATTCATACTGTGACATTAAATTATTGCTTTGATTTACAAAGTAGTGAATAGACTTTACAGGAATACCGTTCATGCACAGCCTGCTGCTAAGAATGAAAAGTCATTTTCTGGTAACTATGTAATACAGGGTAAAAAGAGTTGACTAGGCATTGAAATGGAAACAAGAGCAAAACTTGCATAGTTGAAAATATGGTGAGTTTTGTGAGAAGAAACAAGTGATTTTGAGAGGATGGCATCTTTTAAAATCTTAATTTCAGTTGGCAGAAAAAACCCAATGGGTATGTCTGCAACGCCCAGCCAAGGAGAGGAAAAGATCCAGGAGTCAAAAAGCCAGCAAGAAACACCGCCAGAACCCGAGGCCAGAGGTTCCTTGCTTTCTTCAACTGCAAGTAAGCAACAGTTTTTGTTTTTTTAAATTCTTCTTCTGGTTTGTTTGTCTGCACTGGTTCTTTGTTAACAGCTCACATTATTTTTATAATACAGGTTACATTATACCACATGAAATTGCTTTTAAGCTGTTATCTTATTGTTTTTATATTTTGGTTTTATATTGCAAAACATAAATATGTTTTAAAAATGTGTTTATTTCTTTACCTTGAATTCAATGTTCACCCCTGAACAATGACTTGAAAAGAAGGTAGCATTAAATTATGACATCGTATTGAGCTATTACCTACAAAATATCTTATGAATAGATTTTATAAATAACAGCAAATTCTCACCAAAGTCTAAGCAACATCCAAAATAATCTCCTCCATTTCTCTGATACAGAAACTGAGGCAGCAATAAAGTACTGTAGGCCTCATAGGTTTGAATTTTTAGTTTCTATTCTTTGTTTGGTCATTTTTCTCACTCTTAAATGTATTATCTTCTATGAATGCTATCTGGCAAATTCTGTGAGTCAGATCTAGTCAGCTTTGGGTAAACTGACATAGTGACCACTGACTCTGAACCATTTTTTTTAAAAACCCATCTTGAGAAATATAGTAGATAAATTACAATGTTACTTTTAAAAAAGTGCTTCTTGAAAATCAGTTATTGGGTGTGCTTTCTTTTTTTTTCAGGTAGCAACAGAAAATAGGTCTCTTTCTGACAGCCCTATGCTACCATCATATCAACCAGAGAAAAGAGAAATTAGCCTTTTGATTTTTGCTGCATGAACAAGACCCAGTTTTATATTTCCATGTCATGTCATGAATCTGTGGAGCAGTGGGACAGATCACACCATGTGAGAAACAAGTGCTTAGTTAAACTTTTTAACAGAAAGAAAATTCAGTCTTGTGTCAGGAGAAATGGTACCTCAATCTGGGATGGCCACCTCAAGTAAAATTTGACTTGGCTAAAAACATCATGTTAGCTGAAATCTCTGGGAGTAGATATGTTTTTATGAGTAGCAAAATATTTCAGAGAAAAATCTATATATTTTATGAAAATTTGTCTGTTCTGGCAAAAACATTTTAAAAATATTACCATTGTTACATATTTTTAAAATTTAAGGTACACAGCATGTTGATTTGATACTTTCATGTATTGCATTGTGATTGCCATTGTATGGTTAGCTAGCCCCTCTATCATGTCACACAATTATCATTTCTATGATGAGAATTATTAAGATCTAGTCTCTTAGTAAGTTTGATGTGTATAGTAAGATGTCTATAATTGCTGTACTATACATTAGATCTCCAGGTCTTATTTATCTACTGGCTTCAAGTTTGTACCCTTAAATATCTCTCTTATTTTTCCGTCTCCCAACCCCTGCCCTTGGTAACTACTACTTTACTTTCTGCTTTTACAAGTTTGGCTTTTTTAAATTCCACATATAAGTGATATAATACAGTATTTGTCTTTGTATCTCACTTAGCATAATGTCCTCAAGTTTCATCCATGTTGTCACAAATGGCAGGATTTCCTTCTTTCTTGTGACTGAATAATATTCTGTATATACTCAGAAGTGGGATTGATGGATCATATGAAGTAAACATCCAGGGCATGCTAGGTGCAAAATAAAATTTAAGCCATTAATTCATTATAAAAAGAAGTAATTTCTTTATTGTAGTTAATGTTAACACTACATGTTATTGGCAGTACCAGTTAATGGCATTGGAAATGCAGAGTGGGCCAGAAACTGAGAAAAGGAAGACTTAACTTTGTTAATTAAGCTGTTTAATTTATTAAGCTATTAGAAGCATTGATATAGCATATACTTTGTGTTTGGACATTAAATCCTGGAAATCTAGATGATAAAGTTTTCCTAATGCAAATGTCATCTACAAAAGGACCGTGATTTGTTTAAATTTTGCCTTCTGTGATTGCAGTAGAAATGTTTTTTTTTAAGTATCCTTCAGGTGGGGAAAAAATGTCACATGTTAATATTACTTAGGAGACTGATTCATTACTGAATGATTAGATCATGACTCTCTTTAGTTGTCTTCTTTCTACTTCTGTCAAACATCTGCAGCCTGTTGAAAGTTGTTTATTGTGAGAAATACCTTCCTCTTTGTTTTGCAATTTAGCTGTCACACTAGATAGATTTAAGTTATATTAGCCTTTCATATTAAAATAAATTAGTTGAAAAATACTTTAGAAAACATGTTTTGTACTTTAAAGGCATCAAAACCAACTCCCTGTTCCTGAAGAATGAAATTGTGTTTGTCAGCCTACTTTCAGGATAGAGCAAGATGTATGTGGTTGGGGGCTTAGGTATTACAGGCCGAGCAGGTGCAAGGACAGTGACCGCTATGGAGATTCAGTTATGCAGACGCCGACCCCACTGAGCAGGACTTACTTCAGCAGGGCCCTGGGGCCCACTGAGTCTGGCTCTTACGTATGTCGCTTGTGGAGGTGGTTGGGTGGTTCTTCGACGAGGTCTGAAGCTGTCCACTGGGAAGGTCAGCTGCCATCCATGTTTTGCCCAGGGCTACCCGGCATGAGCTACAGAGTGATTTGCAGATGGCTGCTCCTTGTGCTGGGCTTAGAGGTGCCCAAGAGAGGTCAACTTGCGAACCGAGGCCTGCTGCTGCTAGTGCTGGGGCTGGGGCCACTTAGCAAGAGTTTCTGGGCATACTGAGGCCAGATGCTGCTTGTTTGAGAGATTTTAGGAAAGTCAGAAGCATGAGCCAAGATAGTCCATTCATATGGCAAAGTCACAGGAACAGCTTGTATGGGCCTTAAAGTTGGGTGGGGCAGGGTCTCAGGGAATCCCCGGAGCCGGGCTCACAGTGCGAGCCAGGTTGATGGAGACTCAGATACGGTGCCCGCCTGTGGGCTCTATGGGGAAAGGGCTCAGAGGCCTCTGCCAGCACTTCTGTCGGGGAGAAGGCTGTCCCTCCCTGCTCTTGTCCTGATGCCAGACAATTCAGTTCCTCCCTATATGTCCCTGGTGCCTTTTGAGCTGCTGTCCCAGCCCTGGAGCATAGAGGAAGTCAGAGTGAGTCCGTGTGTGGGCCCTTTACCCTCTGTGTCACTCAGCCGCAATTCCTGCTGGTTTTTGCAGCCACAAGTTATGGGGACTTCTCTTCCTGGCACTGGAATCCTGGGATGGGTGGCCTGGCTTCTCAGGGGGGGACCACTGCAGCTGAGATAGCCCTCCCAATATTTACCCCCCACACGTGGGTGTGGGACCAGCCCTTTCTGGGTCTCTGCCCCTCCTGCCAGTCTCATGTGGCTTCTTCATATCCTTAGTTGTAGAATTTCTGTTTGGCTAGATTACAGGCGGTTCTGAATGACGGCTGCTCTTCAGTTTAGTTGCAATTTTGATGTGGTTGTGGGAGGATTCAAGTACCATGTTTACCTACGATGCCATCTTGACTGGAAGCCATGACTGTTTCTTTTAAAGCGAGTCTCTAAGTTGGAGCCTGTCTTCTCATTTAGTCTGAACAGGTATTTCTTTAATGTGGACCCCATGTATCTGTTAATATAATCTTGCTTGGAGTACATGCTTTAGGCATCCTTATTGCACTCTTGGTATATATTAAGGTCATTAGGATATTGTACTTATAATATTCTTTCACTGAAAAATATGTAACTGCTTTTTGAACCAAATTTAGGCCTTTACCTTGACAGCCGTTAGGTTTTTATCTTCTTGGTGTCAGTCCAGTGCTCTAGTATGTTGAGATAGCCTTGATTATTATCTTATTTTCTGTTTGTTAGCTATCCCACCAGCTTTGTGCTCCCTATGCTCTATATAGATGCCTACTATCCCTTACATCAAGACACTGCCGAATTCATGAGTAAAACAAGACTATTCATGTTAATTTTTCAGAAATAGATACTTTCACATTGCGTGATACCTATAGAGAAAATGCTTTAACAACTTATTTTCTTCCAGGTTATTTTACATTTAAAAAATAGAGTTAAATAATAATCATCTTCGTGATACTGTACTATCAAAATAAAGGGACATTTTATTTCAATTTCTGCTTTACATTTTAGTTTAAATCAGCTTTCTTAAACACTGTCTTGATAAAGCACACAAAGGTTTATACAACTTGTCTTTTTACGCTCCCACTTTCTGATGGTGATTCATGCCTTTCATTGACCTTAACTTTGATCAACCCATGAACTATGGTATCAGCTAATTTATTATTTATTTCTGTGTGTAATTTTTTTCTTTTTCTTTCTTCAGAGCTTCAGGAGACCAGCAGCACAAAGGTTGCTTAGCTTTTTTAAAATTTTATTTTGACTGAGTCAACTTGAGTGGTACTTAATTAAAGTGCTCTGTCACCCTCTCGAAGAATATTTTTGAGTCATCTGAGTAAGTTTTAGGTACAATAGATTTTATTTAGGGAGACCCTGAATAAGTCAGATGATTAATTCAGAATCCCCATCAAATATTCTCCCAGCTTAGAATATTTTAAACCTCTGGTCAACAAAAGCAACTGCTTTTATGGTTCTCAAATGGATAAATTTATGATCTGAGGCTAATGGACTTTGGTTCATTTCCAAAAGATCAGGGCATTAGATGGAATTCATATTTAATTGATAACAGCACAAACTTTAATACATTGTTCTGTATTATAGATTATGCAATATTAAGTCATGAATTTTGAAACATGAGTGCGCCCTGATGATGTGTTATGTTTGTGCAAATGTGTTATGTTTGTGAAAATGTTAGAGCAGGAAGAGTCTTTTGAGACTATCAACATGTTTGCAGATTAAATCAAACAAACCAGCTAAACACACACACATATGCACACACGAACACGTGTGTTCGCATTTGAACACCCTGAAAACTAAAACCAAGTAACCATGGTGTCTTGACTCTACTCCAGGGTTTATTCATTCATTTTCCATCATCCACTGGCCTTCCTGCCTCGGTCTCTCCCTGCTATATACAGTTCGCCCTTTCAGATGGATCTTTCTAATGCTCAGATCGTATCACTACCATAATTTAGAATCTGGACTTGTTCCCTTCTGTCTGCACAAAGGTGTGCCAACCTCCAACCTGCGCAGTGCCTTCCATGATCTCATTGTCCTGTTCAAGTGTCTATCACTTCGTGTAGCTCTTCCGTAATGTCTGCTTCTCCAAGCCTTTGTACACGCTGCATATGCTAGTCCCTCTCTCTGAAATACCCTTCCTTCCACTTTCTGAAAAATTCTAGTTCATCCTTCTATATCCAGCACCCAGGTTCCTTCATGAGCCTTTCCTGCCTGCCCTCCACAGTTAATCACTCTCTACTCTCTGCTACATCTGAACTTTGTTGTATTTCTTTTGTTCCCTATACACATGTTTGCATCTTTCAAATCCAAATATTTATGTCTGTCTTTCCTACTAGATTGTGTGTATGTCCAGAGTGAGGCTGTCATTAGTTATCTTTCAAACTTTTAATCTCTGCCATTAATATTGAGAGAGCAACGAGCCTATCACGGCACCTAGCAAATAACAGGAACTGAAAAAAGTTAAATTGAATTGCTTAAAAATGCTCCTTTTAGCTGAGTAAGATATTCATAAGAAGTTAAGTAGGTGATTAGCGTCCTAAAGAGTATCCTACTGAGCTAGGTCACCAATTACTCTCTGGGACGGACTCGTGGATGTGCTATAGAGTTTGCATCAGTAGATTTCTGATTGCACTGTTGTCTGGGCTCTGCAGAAATTCCAGGTATGTTTGCAAGGCTCCTGATTGTGCTTGAGTAAAAATGGCAGGGCACTCAGGTGTTCACCTAAAATATTTGAGTTTTGAAAATTAAACTGTGCCATAAAATTTTGTTGGGAAAATATTTGTGACCTTTTCTAGGTCAGCTACCTTTGATACAACAGCCAGAATGGCATGGGATTTAAACTTGCTCTGCCTGGGTTTGAAGTTTAGTTTTTCGTTACTGCCTGTGTAGCTGTCAGCACATTGCTTAACCTCTGAGTCCTGGTTTGTTTACCTGTTTAATAGGGGACAGTACCTCATAGGACTGGCGTGAGGATTGTGTAAAGTTGACATGGTAATGAATGTTAAGTTTTTAGGACAGCGCTTAGCACTGAATGAAATCTTGTGTCCTGCTAACCTGTGTTTAGGTGAACGCAGAACACCCATCCAGCTTGTTTCATTACAAAGGCTTTGGAGTTAGACGTTCCATTATTTACTTATTATATGACTTGGGCAGATTACTTAGCCTCTGCCTCTTTTTCCCATCTTAAAGTGGACAACATAATCTGACTTAACTTCATGGGATGAGAAATAATATGAAGCATTCAACCCAGAACTTAGCATATAGTAGGAGCTTAATAAATGGTGACTATTACTGTAATTGAAAAAAAATGCTTGCTATTATAATGTTAGAGATGATCTAGGACAGTGAAGAGGAGGCACCTTTAAAAAAGAAGGGTAAGCCCTTTCTTAGCAAATAGAGTTATTTGGCATAGTTTTTATTTCATTTTAAAATTGTTTTCCATAGCCAGAAATAACTAGCTACTTCCTGGGTTTGTTGTCATTGTTAATGCTGTACTAAGATCCTAGGTGCTTCCAAGGTTGCCTGTTGTTTCAATCCACAGAATTAAATGTAGGAAGAGTCTTGGCTTCCTTTTAACCATTTGACATGAGGAAATTCATTTCATTACCTAAGTCTGTAATATATAGGGTGTCCCCCAACAATGTATACACACACTTTAAAAAAAAAAAAATCTCCTTATTCNACCTAAGTCTGTAATATATAGGGTGTCCCCCAACAATGTATACACACACTTTAAAAAAAAAAAAAATCTCCTTATTGATTTCAGAGAGAGAGGAAGGGAGAGGGAGGAAGAGAGATAGAAACATCAATGATGAGAGAGGCATTGATCGGCTGCCTTCTGCACACCCTGCACCAGGCATGTGACCTGACTGGGAATTGAACCCCGATGGCCTGGATCATAGGTCAGTGCTCAAACGCTGAGCCACCCCAGCTGGGCTACACACTTTGAATAATTTATAAAGGCAATATTTATTTATTTATTTCCTCATTTTTTTTAAAAAATATATCTTTATTGATTTCAGAGAGAGGAAGGGAGAGAGAGAGAGAAACATCAATGATGAGAGAGTCATTGATCGGCTGCCTCCTGCATGGCCCTGACTGGGGATCGAGCCCACAACCCGGGCACGTGCCCTGACCGGGAATCAAACCTTGATCTCCTGGATCCTAGGTTGATGCTCAACCGCTGAGCCATGCCCAGCCAGGCAAGGCAGTATTTATTAAAATACATCTCATTTTCAAAATTGAGCTACTTTCTGTTAAAGTGTGTATACATTTTTTGGGGGATACCCTGTATTTCTACCTGGAAATCTCAGTTAAGAATTAACATGCAATTGTTGGGGCAATTTAGACAACTAATGCAGAGTAGCCTGGGAAATGCTCTTAGTACTGCATTCCCCAGTATCTCCTTCATGAGGCAACAGTCTAAACAGAGTGCAAAGAAGACAGCAAGCTGGGAACCTCAATAACCATCTCTTCTACACAAGGAGCTGCTCTTTGGCACCCCGTGGCTGACGGAGGCTGCCTTGTGACACACTGCCGCTGTGTGGTCCCTGCCCCCAAAGACTAACCTACTCTAAGCACTTCAGAAACCACTTGCATTTGTGAAAATTCTATCTGTAGTTTAAGATCCTTTCATTGCTCTTTCCAGTAGGCCCCCCCCAACTACTTCAGAAAATTTTTCCCTCCTCAAATTGCTATTTTTACATCTCATTTGAAATGTGTTTTAATTCCACTTTTCTTTGTTACTTTATATTGCAGTAGCATTGTCTAAAAACCTGTAAGCCAGGCCGACAGTTTCATGACAAATCAATGGACACACACTGCAAATTCCAGCATGCATCCACGTTGAAATGTTGAGGACAAGTGACAGATTGCTAGGCATTTCAGATGTTTATTGTCCTAATTGAGTTTTCTTCAGTAGTTCAGTTTCAGTCGACCAGAACCTTGCTGAGAGGAGATGAGCACAAATCAACTCTCTGGAGTTGTAGCAGTTCAGTGCCTCCCTGCCCGCCCCACCCATCCCTGCTCTGTTTTGATGTCCTTGGGCTCCATGTGACAAAGGATTCTGTCAGCCTGACATTGCATGTGATCTGCCACTAATGCTTTTTTTTTTTTTTTTTTTTTTTACCCCCATAGAAGAAATCAGACCTTCCCAGAGCAGGGAGACTTCTTTGTCAGAAGATGAATGGAAGGTGTTAGTGCTGACAGGAAACACAGGGACTCGAGCCAATGTCACACTCTGGGTGTATGGAGATGAAGGAGTCACTGGACCAATAAGTCTTAGCAAGGACAGCCCAGAGCAGCTCTTCCTTCCAAGACAGCAGGATGAATTTCAGGTAAACAATATCAGCAGTAACACAGTTTTTTCAGTATTTCAAAGGTATTTCTATAATACAGAAGGATATGATTGTGTGTGCATGTGTGTTCTGTAAAATAAATCTTCAGGTCTATTAGAATTCTCACAAGTTATCCTAATGTCTGTTGTAATCATCAAAGAAAACCTTTTTTTCCTCGCATATTCTTATACAAACAAGGAAAGTTGTAGAAGAAATTGCTTTCTTTAAAGATAATTTTTTTAGGCCATTGGTTTGAAATTGTCCCCATAAACCATCAACTTCAACTCAAATTGTAACTAGATTTAGAGATTCTTCTGATAAGGAAAACTCTTTTTTCTGTGTACTCGCAGATACTTTTAAATGTTGCTCAACTGAGCTGTATGGTGTGAAATCATTTTTCGACATCTTCAGAGGCCGTGTTTTGAAGCCCTGCCAAAGTCCATTCGAATATCTCTCTGTTTTAATTAGCATCAGAGAACACCGGGCTGCATTGTTTTGAGTATCGCTGGTTGCTTCTCCTAGTTCCTCAGGGCTTTGGACAGATTTTAATTAGGACAATTACATTCCACTTCACTAATCCCCCCCACCCCTACC